TTCCAGCTTGTCCATCAAAGAGCCTAGAAAGAAGATCTGATTAACTAAGGCAGAAAATACCTTACTGCAACTTTAAAAAAATACATTATTTACTGCTACCCTTTAAAGATCTGCATGGCCTTACTGTGTATATGAATGTTTGCATGAATGGCTTTATTATTCTGTTCATATCCTGGAGGCTTTACCTTGTCATCGTGCATTCCTCCTTTCTTGTGTAATCTTGTGTAAGCACTTTACCTTTGCTTTATGGTCCCGAGGCTTCATTTTAGTCACTATTATAGTCTGAACAGTTATCAGAGTGACAGATTCTTGTTACTGTGGTTTTAAACTGGTTGTTCATTTTAGAAGCATCGTGTCACAATTACAGTTTAATTTTTTAGTTGGGCGGTTCCTCTACAATGGATTGGTGTTTGTTTTATCCTCAAAATAAAAGAGTCACTCTATATTAATACCAAGTATTTGTTGATGAACCAAGGGTCTCCTCAGGTTCCCATACTAAACATACATTTTTAAAATCTTTACTGTGCTGTGTAATTTATTATGCATTAGATAGCATCACAGGCTTGCTGTTATTAAGGAAGACTCAGTCTTAATTTTATCAAACATTGTAAAGCTTTCAGAAAGGTATCATAGTTCATTTGAAAACAATTCAAAAAGAATTAGAATGCAGTAAGTTTTATTGGAATCAATTAAAATGTCAATACTTTCCACCTGACCCTAATGTAACCTTGAACTTGTACTAAATGTAGCCTAATTTAATTTGCATAATAGTCTTGCAAATCATTTTAAAGTTTATGCAAATGATTCTTTTTTAAAACAATTCCAATCTACAATACACTGGAACACTATATACCTTTTTTTCTGTGTTTATTTTTTTGGAGGGGGTTGTTGTTTATAGAGGATTTTTTCCTCTATATGTTTTGAAAAATTCACCTAACTTTAAAAAAAAAAAACCTTCTCATTACTGTGCAACATTTGCATTGAATCTAATAAAAATATTAAGGATTTTATGACACTAGGAAGACAAAAATATCACAAATGATTTAATCATGCTTCACTGAGTTTATTTCTCTTCTATGCACTACAACTCCCAAACCTGTTGTGGATTATATTACTAGCTGTGATAGGAATACATCTGCTCAACTGAGATTGGTGAAATAGCTACAAGCATTTTTTTAGGTGTTTAATATGACTCTGGTAGCACATATGTCAAATAGATCCACTTGAATAACTATAATACATTTTATGTTGGTATGTCTTTAAAAACTTCAGTTTATTTAAATCATGTAAATAGCAATAGCATGTAGCCTTATACACCACTTCATGGTGCTTTTACAGCCCTCTCTAAGCAGTTTACAGAGTCACCATATTACCCCTACAATCTGGGTCTTCATTTTACCCACCTCAGAAGGATAGAAGGCTGAGTCAACCTTAAGCCTGGTGAGATTCGATCTGCCAAATTGCAGGCAGTCGGCAGAAGTAGCCTGTAGTACTGCACTCTAGCCACTGCACTACCATATCTCTTAAAGCTTATATTTTCAGACTTAGTCCATGAATGGCATTGAACAATCCAGCCAAAGTTCAGGTGTTTATTTGCTCACAACCAATTGACAGAATGTTGCCTGAATAAACCAATAACACTCTCACCCTAAAGTATATAACCAGTGAGATTCTAGGGAGTGGCTATCCTAATTTTCTGTCTTCAAAGAAGCTCTGATTGTGTTGCCTCTTGTTTCAACTCCCTCCCCACCATGGAATGTGCTCCTTCTTCATGGGAAACTACTGCTTCAGTGTAGTCCATTACATCACCTCCCCATTTATAGGCACCATCCATTCCAGATACAACTTCTATGTTGTAACAAATACAAAATAATTTTAGTTTAAAAATGATATTTTCTTAAATATAATACATTGCAATTATGTACATTTTTTCATTTCCTGATTTTCCTATACCATCCAAGAGTTTTTGTTTTTTCAAAACCATCTCATTTGTGATATTTGCAGCTTATATATCATTTATATGCCATTTGTTTTCTTCCTTTTCTGAGACGTGTACGTTTCATAGAAACTTATTATCATGGTGGGCTAAGATTCAGAGTTAGAGGAGGGGACTGGTGATGAGCAGTCAGTTCAAGAATCATCTTCAGCAGTACTGAAAAACAATGAGCAGCCAACTCCAGCACCATTAGATAGACTATTGTCTGAGCAGACAGAGGAGGGGAAGCAAAACAGAAACCAGGAGACACAACAGCAATTGCTCTCTGAAGATGAGGGCATGGAACTACTGAAGGAAATCATCCGGTTTCAATGCGAGTAAAAGTGTTCTGCAAGACTGCTCACAGAGAAGAATATTTGCACCACTAAATGAGCTACACTGGGGCTGCTTATATTAAAAGGCTCTCCGTGACAACTACTCATTAACTCCTACTCCATATGCCTTAATTCATGTACATCACAACCCTGATTTTGAACCTGGGTGGGCTAATAAATCTGCTACAAGTTCCACCTTTTTAAAAAAATGAAAGGTGCCTTTTTTTCTAATAAGTAGGATTACTTATCAGTCTAATCTAATTACACCAATTTAATAATCTAATACCATTTTGTTTCAGATACAATTTTTTTTAGAAAGCAACAATTACATATATTTTTCCTCTTTGTTACTTTTATTTGGAGAATTCCACACAATTACTTGCATTTAAGAACTTGGGAAGAACATTTTTGATAAGTTAATATCAAAATGCAAACTGAATGAAATTATTGGTCATTTTTGATAGCCACATCAAACATGATAGACACGATGACTTTGCTATTTTCTTACATTTAATCCTACGAATGGTGCTTCAGCAAAATTTACAATAAACAGAAGCAGTTAATTAATTTTAGATTTATGGAAGCCATTCTTTGTGGCAAACTTTTCATTTAATTTAAAAGGTCAATCCCTACTTATTCTGCTGAGTACATTACAAGAGGTAAAGTGAGACTTGAAAAGGCACATTGTACATGAAGGATATTTTTGTATTTGCATAGCCATGTCACTACACCAATACCTGTTATGTACTGAAAGCAGAAGTGATAAAATCAGTACTCATGTATTATATTTTGTTGCCTTTTGTTGACCATTATAAAATAAAAACCAATATGGTCAATTAATCTGTATATATGTTGTTCTGATGGTTCTCTCTCCTCTCTAATATCATTGACAACTTGATTTTAAAATACCATAAATAAAATATACAATAAAATACAATATACGGATTGTTCCCCTTATGTCCCAATGTATATTTTAGAACCATGTTCAGTGTAGACTACTTAATGTTTCTGCCTATCACAAAAGAATCTAAAACAGAATTGACCTGCAACACAGTGCCCTCTGGTGCATTAATAAAAGCAAAAGCAAAGCAATATAAATCTTTAGAACATAAAATAATCAACAATCCTCTTCCCAAGTGTATATTTAAAAAGCAGCTATGATTTGCATGCAAACATAAATAGTACAGACGCACCAAGTTTTCTCCCAGTTCTTAAGAACAAAATGCTGGAAACATTCAACAACAAAACAATTCACAGCAAATGAATGACCACCTATTCAAATGACTTCAAGACCACAAATAAGCCAAGAAATATCAGTCAATCAGTTTCTTTCATAATCAATCTGTTTTTTTTAAAAAAAAAGATTCTAAAGAGTTACAATACTGGTTTTCATCCATAATTAAAACACTTTGTTAACTATATTGTCTATTTTATCCCATTGGTGCAGTTTTCTTACTTTCCTCTTTTCAATATAAACATTTCAGAAACAAGCAGGAAATCCATAACACTTATTTCTAATATATACCAACATTTTCAATGTGAAAACTCTCATCCTCCCAACCTGGAGGAATGGCATTAATAATGTTCACATTTTGTGAGTCGGTATTGTTATGCGTAAAATTTCCTTATTCTTTTCCATCCCCCAAATCCACGCTTTAACAGGTGATGTGTAAAAAACTAGTATATAACAAGTGATCTTTACCCATAATGCATTCTAAAACAAGAAGCCACCCTCTTTCTATTCAATTTGCAGTCAACCAATTAAGCTATGTGGTCCAAACCTTCAAACCTGGGACTGACCTGTTTAAATTAGAAACTCTTTATTATTATTGCCTCAATTAGTGAAGTTAAACTGGAAGATATTGAAATACTGAAACATTTTCTTCATGCTATTAAGAAATTGCTATACAATAGATTTGAGTATCATAGGATAATCGATGCATCATACTCCATGTGTTTTGGGTGAAGATGATAGAAGATGATAGGAGTAGTAATCTTACATGTTTCAAAGAAATCACGCTGAGAAAAGCTAGTTTGTTCTGACAGACAATTCTAAAGGTTCTCAACAAGCTGTGGTCATTCTGAAAGCAAAGAAACTAGCTATAGTATTTCTGAAATGAATGCATCAATATTTTATTGCTTTTTATTTCTAATTATTATTTAGAAAAGATATTGTGGAAAGGGAGTAGGGAAGTTTACATCCCCACCTTGATGTTCCAATCAGAGGATGTTTCTCTAAAGAAACTATTTTTAATGTTTAAAAATATTTTTTTTTTAAACTATTTGCAATTCAGGGAAAGCCTCCACTGATACCAACAGGAATGTGGCTATCTCAGAAACATCAGGGAACAAGTGTGGGCATGTCCTCTACTTTTGAAGTATGATTTTTCTCTAGCATCCTGTATTTTCTGAAAAAATAAGTGCATGCAAAGAAATAAGAAATATAAATCAAAAGTAGATTAGGAATTAAAATTAACTTTTTTCAGCAATACATGAAAGTCAGTCAACATTTGTGATCAATTTCAACAATGTCTTCACTCAACCACTTGATCAACCATCCCTCTAGTTCTCAAGAAGCCCCAGTTCTGAATAGAATCTTGGCTTCTTATATTCATGTTTTTCCCTTTTCCTATTTAGATATAGCTTCCCCAAAGCTTCACACTGCTCTTGTGATCCCAAATGCTTCATACCTGTAAATCTTGTATCTTGTGCTAAATCCCTGTCGGCTTCTGTCCACAAAATCTGTATATTCTGGGGAGCGATGGAAGGGTCCCTTATCAGAGAGAAGCCAGTCGAAGGGGCTTGTGGCATGCTGATCTGAACCAGCAGCAACCGCTAAAACCCAGCAATGAAGACTCAGGGCTATCCACTCCCATAGAGCCATCAGAGAGAACAATTCAGCACCAACACTGCATCGCCATATCATGCTTCCGCTGGGGACTTAGAGTCTTCATTCTCTTAGCTGTCTCTTCACACCTACACAAAACACAAAGGAAAACAGATCAGCTCACTTTTATCATACCTGTCAAGCACCCTTCCTAAACAGTTGTCAAATAGCTAGAAACAGGGTGGCATGTCAAGGGGGAGAACCTTTCTTCTGTCTTGGACCTGTGACTGCATCTGCATCAGTACATTATGCTTGTATAGGCATAAGGAAGTGTGTGCATAACAGTGCAAGTAAATGTCTTGAACCTGTGAAATTGTGTGTGCACATTTCCATTTGTATGCAAGCAGAGACGGGCAGAAATGAAGTGCCAGATGGAAAGAGCAATTTACTTTACTCCTTCTCTCTTTGTCTCCAGCAGACATTCATAGAGCATAAAGTCCCATTTCAAATAGTGGAGATTACAGAACCCAAACATTTCATCCAGATTCAGTACTGATATCAGATTTTCAACAATTCTATCCCAGCATGGGTACAATATTCAGATCAGATTTTCAGTGCCCACTCCTCCCTCCCACCCCACTCCAAAATATTATGTTGATAGCACTGGGAAAACCCTTCATCAGTGAATGGATTCCCTTTCCTTTCTTTAACTTCCTACACTCCACCAAATTGGAGCTTCTCAGAAGGGACTAGTGGACTTTCTAGAGTAAGTTTGTTCAATTTTTAGAAGAGGTAAAAATCCAATTGAATGAATTGATATTTACTCTTACTATTAGCTAGTAATTTGTAATAATAAAGGTGATTATGCAAATCTGGGTTGCCCATTGCAGTAATCTAGAAGATTAGTAGTACTTATTGCTTAGAATACTAATAATCTTGAAGACTCCTAGAATAGTACTGTGTGGCAGCAAAGTTTCTATCTCTGTTGCCATTTAGTTGTCATCATTTTTTTCCAGTTCAGCCCACTGCTTTAGCTTTTAGCTCTTACTGAGATATGGAACATTAATTAACTTAAAGATTTTCAAAGGGCAGCATTAAAAAAATCCTTACTGAATATTATTTCAGTATAAATATAAATGGATATTTCACCTTCAATATGGAGTTTCACTGCCACAAATCAAGAACTGTGTTAGCAGAGGTTACAATTATATAAGAGCTTTGGTGGTGCAATGGTTAGAGTGCCGACTGCTGACTGCCAGCTGCCAGCAATTTGGCAGTTTGAATCTCACCAGACTCAAGGTTGCCTCAGCCTTCCATCCTTCTGAGGTCAGTAAAATGAGGACCCAGGTTGTTGGGAGCAATATGTTGGCTCTGTAAACTGCTTAGAGAGGGCTGTAAAGCATGTGAAGTGGTATATAAGTCTAAGTGCTACTGCTATATTAAGGATACATAATTTGATCCTCCTGAGATGTTTTGGCCTTCAGTTACTACTGGACCTCATAACCTATAAAGAATTGTCCAAAACATCTGGAGGACACTAGCTTGGCTATTCACAAAGTAATAAGAATACAAATCCCAATTATGTAGTGTCTCACACATTTAATATTTTTT